AAGTAAACAAATGTGAGCTCCATTGGAAGAACAGCCTGTGCAACATAACCAAATCTACCATCTGAATTGTCATGATGCATAATTGTCCTTTTCATTTCCTTTAAAACTTCCTCATTGCTTATATGCTCTGTTCATGCTATTCTCAGTATTTTTCTTTACAACCACACCTATGTTGCTTCAAATCTCTTCCTCATCAGCATTCACTTCCATATAGGAGGATTGACATTATATAGCTGTTCATCACACATTTCTTTGTTTCTAATGAATTCTCCTGTTTTCACTTTCCTTAAAGATGCCTTGTTGCTTACATGTTCTGTCTATATTCTCAGCATCCTTCTGTAGAACCATATCTCTGTTGCTTCAAGTTTCCTCTTCATCTGTAATGATATTGTTCAGCATTCACTGCCATAGAGAAGGACTAATACTACATAACATTTCATCACTTTTTTCTGTTTCTAAAGAAATCTTACTTAAAACCTCCTTCTTGATTACATGTTCTGTCTATGATATTCTCAGCCTCCTTCTGTAGAACAACATCTCTGTTGTTTCGAGTCTCCTCTTCCTCTTTGACAAAATTGTGCAGTGTTCACTGTCATATAGGTGGACCAGTATTACATAGAAGTTCAGCCCTTCTTTTCCTAATAAATATTCCTGTTTCTTAAAATTTTCTTTAGTTCTTGGATGACATCTTTTGCTATTCAAATGCACCTTCAGATTTTGGTGTGGCACTTTTTATCCTCTGTAAAAAAACACAACCTAGATATTTAAATTTTTGCACTAGTTTAATTTCGGTATCTCTAATTTGTAATTTGCATGTTGGACAGTTTGCTTATTTAATAAAGGAAATGATAGAAATATCAGGTGCTGTAAACGTGGATGTTTGGATGGTGTAATGGATAATGGCTTGGAATTATTAATTGGAGAACCAAGTTCCAATTCCAGTTGGGTTTGTTATATTCACTTATGTGCAAATACCTTTGGGATTCATAAGTTATGAATCCACTAGCTATGGGTAATTGAGTAAAACTTGTATCACTAAATCAATATTATTTCCAAAGAAAAACTTCTTACAAACGAAAAATATTTTCTGGCTTTAGATAACCAGCAATGGGTTGATAAATTGTAAAAAATGGAGGAATCAATCAGTAATATAAAATACTTCATTTCAGAAGAAATGACAGTAGTAGGCTTAGACAATCAAATGAAAATTGAGACAAAATGGTGGCTCAAAAACATGGTGGATAGAAACAAGACATGAAATAATTTATTTAAAATATTCACAAGCAATAAAATAATGAAACTTGGATTAAAATTTATACATCATATCTTTAAGTTATGGTATTCTGTACTTGTGATTTCATTATTTCCAATTATTAATTTGTATCTTGGCTGTTCCTCTTGCTGACAACCGTATATTTGCCTTCTCACAATTGATGCATAGACTTTTCTTCTCTCTTTTACTACATTATCTAGGAGGTCCAATAGTTTTCTTTCAGTGTCTGCCATCGATACAGTGTGATCTGTGTATTTTATTAAGATCGTTCACACCAATAATAAATCCTGGAAGAACTTTTAGTTTTCTCAAGAAGAAGTAAAACTAATAAATTAGTGTTGTCTGTATATCTTATATTATTAAGATTGTTTTACTAATGATAAATCCTGATAGGACATCTAATTCTCTTAAGAAGAACTAAAACTAATCATAATTTTTTAGGAGGTCTTATAGTTTTCTGTGTCTGTCATCAAGATAGTGTCATCTGCATATTGTTCCCCACCAATAATAAATACTGGTAGGACTTCTAGTTTTCTTAAGAAGAACTAAAACTAATCATATATTTGCCTTCTTACAATTGATGGTTAAACTTTTCTTCTTGATTTCCTTTACTACATTATCTAGGAGGTCTTATAGTTTTCTTACTGTGCCTTCCATCAACACGATGTCTTCTGCATATCTTATTAAGATTGTTCCCACTAATAATAAATCCTGGTAAGACTTCTAGATCTCGTAAGAGCTGAAACTAATCATAAATTAATACAGTGTTGTCTGCATATCTTATATTATTAAGATTGTTCATACCAATAATAAATCCTGATAGGACTTCTAGTTCTCTTAAGAACAACTAAAACTAATTATAAAATAATAACTTTAATGTAAAATACGAAACTGTCGATAGGAATAATAAAAAAATAAACAAGTCATCATATGTTCATGACTGAAAATGCAAAAAACAATTATCTCTAAAAAAAAAAAAAGTTTATAAGAATTTGACTAATAATCATTAATCTCTCTGATATGTCTGTATCATTTTTCCAATTGATCAAAGTCATTTTTGTAATTTTCCATTTGGTATATGGTGTCGTCAGCTTACACCATGATGCCTAATGCTTCCATTCTCCTTAACATCTTGATTTGAGTCTTCATATCCCAAATAATTTACATACCTCTTTTTCAGTGAGGTAAGTGATGCCATGAACTACTTTCCAGGCAAATAATTGATTTTTAATTGTGCTAATTTATTTTTGTCTGTCTTTGAACTAATCTTGTCTGAAAAAATGAAGTTAATAGCAGACAGAGGAGTAGGTGAGGTCTGCATTGTTGTGCAGACTTCAATGTCTCTTGAGATTCTAAAAAACTTGTTAAGAAAAAAAATAAATCATTTTATTTATATATATATATATATATGCATGCATATATATTATGGTGATATATATTATTGTTATATACATAAATTATATATATATATACACACACAGATTAGATATATATATATCATGATATATATAGAACACAGATAAATTATATATATATATATATATATATATATATATATATATATATATATATATATATAGAACACAGATAATTTTTATATATATATATATATATATATATATATATAAAAACACACAGATTATATATATATATGTTACATAACATCTTTATAATAAATAACTATTGCACTACTTTTGGTATTGAGCCCTCTTTTAGATTAATGCTATGAATGTTTGAATTTATATTCTTTTCGTTCTAATTACATTTGAATATATAATTAAATAATATATATCACACACAAATAGTGTAGAAAAATAAAAAATCTGATATTATGAGTGTGTGGGGTATTAAGTCAGATGTTGAGTTTTAAAGATTCCTAATTCTTTTTTTTAATCTGATCTCCATTTTGGGCTACACTCACTGATAACCACACAAGAAATAACACCTGTTTATTCAATTTTAAAAATTACAAAATCAGTTTGATTGAATCCTCTTTTATCCTTTTTTGCAGATGTAGTATAAACATATCACATGACAAGAAAAGAAATAAACCAATCAAATTGTTCTAATATCATTTGGAAATGTCGAAGGACTGCAGTCTCTTAAAAGCAATATAAACGCTGATCATCAACAAAAACTTCTGTAGATACACTCGTTTTCACAGGGACTTTGTTGTATTTAGCTCTAGGCAACTTCAAAGGATCAGTCTTCAATAGTCTATCCCACTGACTAAAGCCACTGCTAAGTCCTATGAACTTCTGTTTCACACTTTAAAATAGCTACAAATAACAGCATTGATGCTATCGACGAGAGGCTGTACACCTTGGAGACCTACTGCAGATGGTGGGTGTGGACCGACTCGAGCGTCGGTCCGTATATATATATATAAAACGAGCATTTAGGTAGCAAGTATTCATCCAAAGACATTTTATTAAAAAGAACCGACAAGATCTATATGTTTAATTTTTTATTTCTTTACCTTATTCAGAAATTGGATTTGTCCATTTTCCGAATAAGTTGTTGAGTATTGTGGTCAATATTTTGGATAAACTGTAAAGGTCATGTTCTGTTAGTGTTGCGACGTGTGTTTGTTTTGTTTTTTTTTCCACAACACTCTTTGCATACCTCACACCACTCAAAAGTTCTACGAAACTAACCAATTTTCTACACTTATCCTGATGATGACTTAAGAAAGTCGAAAGGTTAGGCCATGTTTTCTACTTTTCTTCCGAAATGAATTTCGGACACTTTCTGACGGAATTTCCTCCTTGTTTGAGAAGAATTATTCATAGTTAGGAAAAGACGATCATTAAAATTAATCGACATAAAATGTTTATCATTTTTTATAGTATTGGCCTTAAAGTATATTTTCTGTGTCTGCTCAGGGTAGTTGCTCTGTGGGAGCTGAAGAAACATAAATGTGCCTGAGCAGGTGCCTGAAACAAAGATTAGCTAGCCACCCTTAATAAGCGGCTCTACTCAGAAATAACCAGTGACCCATAATATATATATATATATATATATACAAGTTTCATTAAAAACAACTGACAAAGTACTGCAGCTAAGCTTTTTATTTATTTTTTTCTTGTGTTCTTATAATTCTCTTCTTTTCTGGACGTAAATTATTTAGAAATAGTCTAAATATTTTGCATGTCCACGTTTACAAAATAAAACATGTCTATAACTCTAACTTAAAACAATCCATACATACAGTTAAAATTAAAAAATAAAATCATCCTTGATAATGGCTAAAAATATGTAAATATATCCGAAAGCGCCTGGACATAGAAAATTTGGACTATTCCTACATAAATTACATCTAGAAGAAAATTAGAACACAAGAAAGTCGTTTTTAATGAAACTTGTATAAAAGAGGGATGGATGCCCAAATACACAATTATATATATATATATATATATATATATATATATATATGTGTGTGTGTGTGTGTGTGTATATAAGGCCTAATTTTGTAATTTTGCAAATATCGATAAAAAAATCAAATCCTAAAATGTTTTCTTAGGGAGGTTAACAACTTCGTTTTCTCGTGATTATGTAAAAAATAACTCACCATATAATCGAAAACCATGCCCAAACATTATAATTAATCCTTTCCCATTATGCCACCAGACTATCAAATTATTTTTTGTTTTATATTTCAGGTACGCAGTTTAATTTTATCCTGGAACGAGTAAAGATCATCTAAAAGTGACAATTCCATTAAAATATGTTAGTGCCAATATGGCTGCTTTTCTTTTTCTCTCCATGGTGCCAAGCAGTCGACCTGACGTATTCTATCGAAGAAGGGAAAAGTCCAAGCACATATATTGGAAATGTTGCTCTTGATTCACACCTGCTGGACGGCGTCCTACCAGAGGACCAGAAACTTCTCCGCTTTAGCCAGATGGAACATGGTTTGACCGGCAATACCCTACTGTTTCGTGTGGGTAAAAATTCTGGAAAACTGTACACTGCGCAGATACTGGACGCTGAAGTCTTGTGCGTACGCAACAAAGAATGTTTTAGAATGGTTGATATAGCAGTGCGTCGGCGAGAATCTTTTGTCAAGATTTTAGAAGTAAAAGTAATAATAAAAGACATTAATGACAACAGGCCTGAATTTCCGGAAGAGAGGGTTCAGATTGAATTCTCTGAGGAATCCCTGAAAGGTGCCAGAAGATCCATCCCGAATGCCATTGATCATGATATTAGTCCTTTAAACTCGCAGATCACGTATCAGTTAAAAAAAGGCGGCGACGAACCTTTTATGTTATCAGTTTTAAAAAGCGTCGACGGGATATCTAAACTGAGTATTGTCTTAGAAGAAAGGCTGAACCGCGAAGTCCAAGACTCCTACGTGCTTCAAGTGATTGCCAAAGATGGCGGCACTCCACCAAAGAAAAGTGTTTTGCATGTCCTTATTTTAGTTGCAGACGTTAACGACAACACACCTGTATTCTCACGCAATACATATAACGTATCTATTAAATATGAACATGACATTGCTACGCCAGTGGCTGTTTTGACGGCAAAAGATTTGGATTCAGGGAAGAATGGTGAAATTTGCTACCATTTCAGCTCGCAGACATCGGCTGTAGCTCAGTCTCACTTTGAACTTAACGAACAAACTGGCGAAATCTTTTTAAGCAGCAAACTCTCCAGTGGTCACGAGTTTAAATATGAATTGTACGTTGTAGCGATGGACGGAGGTGACCCACCTTTAAGTTCGACAGCCAAGGTCCTTGTCAATGTTATCAACCAGCAGAACAATCCGCCCATTATTGATGTGAACTTTGTGTCTGCATCAACCTCTGTAGGAAACACGGCCACCATTTCCGAAGATATTGCAGTTGGCAGTTTTATTGCCTACGTAAAGGTTACTGACAACGATGCTGGACCAAATGGAGATGTCATATGTGAACTCCATCATGACAAATTCTTACTTCAAAGCATTGGTGTCAAAAAATATAAAGTTACCATAAAGAATCCACTGGACCGAGAAACTTTAGACCATTATAAACTCACAATCAGTTGTCAAGACAGGGGAATGCCCGTTCTTCACAGTTCTAACACTTTTTCCATTCAAGTGATCGACGTCAATGATATAAGGCCGCAGTTTTCTCGCGATACTTTCAAGTTCTCTGTCTACGAAAACCAAAACTCGAAATTTCCAGTTGGAATTATCAATGCTACTGACCCTGACCTCGGTGTCGGAGGTAAACTTACCTATTCTTTAGTGACAACTGATAAGCAGTTTTTGCCTTTCCAGATAGGTGCAAATGGATCGATTTTCACCGTTATGTCACTTGACCATGAATTTCAAGACGTTTACGAATTTCAAGTTTTAGTTAAGGACAACGGTCTGCCACCCTTAAACAACACAGTAAATGTCTTAATTGAGGTGAGGGATGAAAATGACAATGCCCCCTATTTTACATTCCCCAGTGTCAACCCTTATACGCTCGACGTTGTTTATTACACTTATCGTACGAGCAACATCACAGTTCTTAAAGCAACCGATAGTGACAGCCGAGAGAATGCATTTCTGAAATATGAAATAAGTGGAGGAAACGACAAGCAGCTGTTTACTATAAACCATTATTCGGGCCTGTTGTCTTTCACTCATGTTATAACACGACAAGATGCCGGCGCATATGACGTACAATTTACTGTCAAAGATAGCGGAAATCCAGTTCTTTCGGCAACCACCAACATAACTTTAGTACTGACAGTCAGTAACAAATCATTTGAAATGTTAAATGCTGTACACAAACAGATCGAAGACCAGATCCATCTTTATTTACTAATTGCAATCGTCCTGGTGGCCGTCATCGTATCGGTGCCACTGACAGCAGCCGTGTCAATGTGCATCATCCGGTGCAAAGATCGGGGTTGCCTAGCACGGCGCGGGAGAGTGACCACTTCTAGTAGTCAGCTCAGTGAGCAACGAAATCTTATGTTCTCGTCGCATGAGACGTCATGGTCTGATATGGCTCTGGCTAGAAAGGACGCGGACACACTTCACAGCTCTGAGGCAAACAGATCGACAAAAAGTCTCTGTTCAGGTGATAAAACAGAAGCAAGACGGAAAACTGCCTCGGGGAACAAAAGTCAGAAGGGACAGGATGTCATATATCAGGTAGGTAACAAAACGATGCCATCACCGAATCACTAGAGAAATAATTACTTTTAAAATCTTTAAGAATATTCCGCTTGCTATATTCAAACGAAGCTAAGTTATTATTCAGTTTAACGTCCTATAAGTGACATATATCGACCTCTTATACATTTAAAATGTCCTCATTATTTAATCCACAATTCTAAGAGAAATATGTAAAAAAATATACAAGAAAAAAATGACATTATTAGCAACAGCAATAGTAATGAAAATAAAGAGTCTGTCAAGAACGGTGAAAATTCAGCTGTTACTTTGGATATCTCAGAGGGTTTGGTATACAGATCATCCCAACAAGTTAAAAAGTTACGGTGACCACAGCCAAATTTTTTAACTGATCCAGTCTTTCTTACCAAATAGTGTAATGAAAATTACCCTGAACGGCCATTCTTCTAGATTTTTTGTACTAATGCAGCTGTCTTCCAGAGCTCTATCCTTGGACCAACTTTATTTTTAATTCTCATTAACGGCCTTCTTGATGGTATCAGCTCTCATCTTGGTATCTATGCTGATGACACAACCATTTACTCCTGTCTCAAGAGTAAGTCTGATCAGTTTGATAAGGTCAAATTAGGAGTTGATCTGAAAAAGGACCTACAGTCTGTTGTTAACTGAGACAAAGAATGACTTGTTAATTCTAATGCCACCAAAACTAAACTGCTCTCTATTAATCATCTCAGATACCCCTTTCTGCCTTACATCAGCATGGTTGATGCTAAACTCACGGCTGATTTGAAGTGGAAAGACTATATTGAATCCATTGCTAGGTCAGCTGTTAAGAAAGTTGGTTCTCTGTGTCATGTTAGACAATTTTTCTCTCCTGAATCTATATTGCATATCTATAATACATGCTTAGATTTTTGCTGCTACATATGATCCTTGATAAAATCCAAAAAAGAATCAGCAATATTAATAGTGCTGGTCTGGCATCTCGGCGTCAGTCACTTTCTTACCACCATAAAGTTGCCTACATGTGCCTTTTTTTAAAAATACTTTCATGGTAATTATTTTGATGATCTCTTTGCTATGGCAACTAGATTTTATGAATTTAAGCATGGTACTAGACTGGCAACGAAATCTGATAAATTTACAGTTGAGCTGGCTAAATACAACTGTAAGTTCCATGCAGTTTCTTTTCTCGTACTTCTTACTTGTGGAAATCTCTTCTGGCTCCGTGCTTTCCAGTCAGCTTTAATCTTCAAAAATTTAAATGCAATGTCAATCGATATCTGCTGTCCTCCTGATTACTCTTCCTTTGTTCCTACTTCTTAGTAATGTTTCTGTTTTCTAATTGTTCCACATTCAGTAACCACTTGTGTCTCAGTGGCTTTATGTCCTTGCTTGGATGAACTTTCTTAAAGAAAGAAAAAGCTAAGTAAAAACAGACATAATACCACCAACTCCTTAACATCTAAAATTCAAAACAATTTATCCAATCTTAACAATATCAAAATAATTATAACTCATCCAAAACTATTCTGGATATGATCAGAAACAAAAATATCTATAACAATAATAATTCAGAAGTAGGTATATATAAAATAAACTGTCACAACTGTTCCCTGCAATATATTGGGGAAACTTGTTGAAATTAACAAATGTAACAAGAAGAGTTTTGTGACGTAAGTGAGGTGTGATGTGTGCTTTGTTTTTTGAATGTTAACATTCTGACCATGAGAACTGGGTTTGAATCTCAACATAGTTGATTTCTTAAGGAGGTGATTTATTGATTATATTGACCTGTGAAATCAGTCCTGGCATATGGCTCCCATTGAAAATCATACTGCAGGTTGACACAAATATTTTAAGTGAAATTTGGCAGACAAAACCCTTCAGAAGCAGTCGATGTTGGAACATAAGTCATCATGACAGAGTTTGAGCATACTAGCATTGTTCAACTGTTTATTCTGCCAGAAATTGTAACTAACATCTGCTCAGTATAGTTGCAGTATAAGCCACGGACTTGCTCTGTGAGCACTGAAGAAACACAAATGTACCTGAGCAGGTGTCAAACATGGATTAGCTAGCCACCCTAATAGGCGGATCTACTCAGAAACAAGCAGTCGGCCATATATATATATATATACTTTTACAAATACTTTCACGGTAACTGCTTCAATGAGCTGCTTTCACTGGTTCCCAGACTTCATGAATTTAAGCATTTAACTAGGCTGGCATCTCGCTCTCACCCTTTCACTGTCGAAACTGTTAAATGTAGCCGTCTCTTCTATTCCAATAGCTCCATGTCTCACAACTTTCGCCTGCGGAACTCCCTCCCCTTTTCTTGTTTCTCTGATATGTATAATCTCCAACTATTCAAATGTAATGTCAATTGACATCTTCAGTCCTTGATCTATCCCCTATCCTTCTCTTCATCCTTTCCTCTATCACTTCTCTTTACTCTCGCTCCAACTCTCTGTAACACCTTGCATGCTAGTAGCTTCCCACCTTGATTGAGGTGAAATGCTTAAAAATATTATATATATATATATAATTCGAACTGTTATCCTCATCTTCATCACCATATTCATAAGTTTTTGGCTGTTGTAAGCTCCGGCCTTCTTCAGGTGATTGGAATTTTGAACTGTGTTCTGATTAGCTGTTATCCTACTATATTGAAAAGACCGCTTTCATACTGAGCTTTTTGTACATAAAATAATAGGATGGCATATACCAGTGTGTTGAGTAAGCCTTTGTCAGCCAGTAACAATGCTCATGATCAAAGTTTATCAAGGGCAATTTTCTTTTGCACTACCATCACAAAGCATTACCATAAAAGAAATTTATTATTGTTACTATTTATTTACTGTCCTCACCTTTTGTTCTGGTGATAACAACAACAAAGATGAGGACAATAGTCTAAATATAAATAGTGTCAATAATGATAACTCCTCAATACCAAAAATTCATACAGAAGAATTTAAATTATTTGAACTGTTATCCTCATCTTCATTGCTATATTCACAACATTTCAGCCATTGTACACTCCAGCCTTCTTCAGGTGAGTGGAATTTCAAACTGAACCACCGGGTTAAACTGTTTTAGTTTCACATTCCATGACTCTTTGGGATGTCTCAGTTATTTCCCTTTAACTCAAATCCAAGTTTTTTTGGGTTTTTTTTAGTTCACCACTGCTGTAGCCTGTTACTGAACTCACAACTCTTTGGGGCACTGAAAAATTTAGAAAGTTCAACAAGGATTCTGTATAGTCAAATATGCTTAGGGCATTTATATGATACGTACGAGGCTGTGTTGTGTCTTGTTAAATTTGATGTGGGGAACAGTGGGGACTGAAAAGTTCCCCAGAAGTCAAATGGCACACATGTTTTCTCCCAGGCATCTGTGTACCCTTTTCTTATATATTGCTATCTTAATACCATCTAATGCTTTTTAAAATAAATTTTTGGCAGATAAGTGAAATAATCCCATAAACAAAATCCATTTATAAAATAAATACGATCACTACAAGATCATACATTTTGTTGACAGGATACGAGTGATAGTGTTTCAAATAGTGATATCTTAGTACAGTGGTTCTTGAACATTTTCTGCATTTTTGGAATTAAAATTTGCTCACACCTCACCAAATTTTATCAGTTAAAAATACATCTAAAAATAAAAAAAAAGACAAAACAGAGTTAGCGCTAAAGGAAGATAATCGCGTATTCAAAGCCAGAACATTATCATTGATAATTATCTCCTCCAATTTTATAATCCTAGTTACTATATTCTTAATACTTGATATAATGTAAAAAATATCATGGTGATAAAATTGGTCAATAATTATTTATCATCTATTTATACTGGGACTCATGCATGATTACAAGTAATCCATAATAATAATATAAATTTTGAAATCATATTTATTTTTTAGCATATGAATTTTTTTTTAAACTGTTTCAAAGTCTTTGATTGTCTTTCAATCATTCTGCCTCACCTGCTATCCTCTTCCACCTTGAGGTGTGGTGCACCATTTGGGAACCACTGGCTTAGTAGATGCACTGGTGTTTCCTGAAAGGCTTTCAAAGCTACTTCTCTGTCTTTGATTTGTACTGCTTTGCTTAAAATAAAGAGAAAGTTATTGACGAGATTGTAACTGGAATTCCTTATTCTTAGGAGCGTCTTATGACATTGATTTACCAACTAGCAGGTATTATTAAAAAACCTGCTCTTTGATTAATTTTAACAATGCTTCACTGCTAAGTAAGAACTTAGTGCACAAAAAACAGCTATTCAGCTAGAAAGAACGGTTTTGTAGATGTATCAGTATTTGTAATAGTAAGCATCTCAAAGGAAGGGTACAATTTGTTGACAGTGTTAGAGATAGCAATAGAGTTTGTAGAAGCATTAGTCTTTTCTCAAGCGAGAGAGCAAGAATGAAAATATAAGTGATTAACAATAAGAACAAAATATTTTATAGCCTCAGCAAACTAAATAGTAATGATACAAACAAGGTGAATTATATAAATCTTTTTCATATGTAGATGCATATGAATTTTCTAGGAAAAATTGTAAGAGACTTGCATTTAAAAAGTGTCCTTTATCTGTTGGTTTGGTAGACTTATTAGACTTGGTTTATATAGTCAAGTATGCTTTTCTGACAGAGGACAATAAGTGCAACATTGAGATCCAAAGATGTATTGGGATAGCTAAAGAGACATTCCTAAAGCTAGGCAGATTATTACAAGACAGGAGGACTTTGTTGGTAACAAAAGAAAAGAGTCCTGAACTACTATGTGATATCTGTCCTCCTTTATGGCAGTGAATGTTGGACAAACTCCTCAAAGATTAAGAAGAGACTCGAGGCAACAGAGATATGGTTCTACAGAAGGATTCTAAGGATATGATGAACTGAACATGTGAGCAACGATGAGGTTTTGGAGAGGATGCAAATAAAGAGGAAACTTATATTTAACATCAGGAAGAGGCAACTGAAATTTCTGGGACATAATGTGAAAGAAAAT